CGTTGAGTAGATATAATCATATTACAAATTAGCTACGCGACGACAGTTACGTTGGAAAATAAGTTTAATTGCATTTGCCTGATAATGGACAACCAAACGCGTTTTGGTCGAAGAAAACAGGATTTTTCTGGTTATAAGGGGCAAAATTTGGTTCGTGAGAATTAGAAAGGAGTTTGTCCAGAAGAGGGTATTTTTGGCTTATAAACGGAATTGAATGAAACATGTGTCAAATGAAGGCGTGTACCGGGAGGAGTTGGAATATATCAAACCGATACCGATTTAAAGCTGCTGATCTGAAGTACCGGCGTAAAATATTGTCATATTGTAGTTACATTCTTTCGCATATTTCGTTCCTCGCGCGCTTATTTCATAATTTTTGGAACATCCTTCTTTTCGTCTACATTCTATTTTTATTGCATTGACTATTGCACGGAAAAAAAATTAATTGATGTGACAATGAACGAATCGGACGTGTTTTCGTCGAAGAAAACAGAATTTATGATTCTTTGAACTAAATTCGACTCTTTAGGATCGAAAATTCCGTTTCTTCAACAAATACGCAAAACTGCTCGTTCATTACCACGTTAATTCAACCAATCCTTTTTCTCCGTGCAATTAAACCGATTCTTGCCGCTTGCTGTGTCAAGTACGCCAACTTAACCTTTGATACTTTCTACCCTCTCCCTAACTTCGGCTATGCCGCTCAGATTTGAACAAGGGATGGCTTTTCGGAATCAAACGCCCACACCTTTCAAAATACATCTGTCTTATCAAAATTCGTCTATAAGTCCAATATATAATAGGCAAACTCGTTTGCTTCTTTTAACCAAAACTCGTTTGGTTTTCCATTATCAGGTGGATCCGACCAAACTCATTTTCAGTATATCAAGCCGACGGTTTGTTGATAAACGTGTACAGAATACAGAGAACGCCCTTCTCGTTCGCGGACAAGTCGAGGCAGTCGGCGGAGTCGATCGGACGGACGGACGGACTGTGTATGCGCGTGCTGCTTTTATCATAAAATCTCGCACTCCTCGTTTCCGCGGGCAACCGCGCGGGATTATGTGCCGCGATAGTACATAACGCCTGTACGGCCAAGCGAATGGCTACTTTGGCTCGTTGAAGGCAGCATGCGATGGCCACTGTTGCTCCTCGCGCGCGCGGCACTACTTCGCCACCACTACTGCGCTCGGCCACGAGACGCGGCATGGCGCGGCATGGCGCGACGGCGGCCGTTATAAAAATAACTGCTGATTGGACGGCCCTACCAAGAAAAGTCGTAATCGCATCCTGAAACGTTCCCTCCTCGTCGCCTTCCTTCTCTCTCAGCGTCTCTCTCTTCTACTTACTCTCACTTTACCCTCGTATTCCCCCCCCCCCCCNTTTATCTCCCGCGACATTCATTCCCGCTATTAGCGTCGCCACCTCTCTCTCTTTCTCTCTCTCTCTCTCTCTCGTCAGTCTCGTATCGAGGAAATGTCGTGCAGAAAGGGTGGGTTTAAATGTCATCGAGAGCCCTTCGGTCGAGTGTCTCTTTCCCGTTTCACCGTTTTCGGCCGAGTCGTCCGGTTTCTGCTTCCACATATTCTACACATGCTGCAGAATTAATACCCGCCGGAGAGGAGCGTACTTCATACGGAGAAAATGTCGCAGTAAACATTACCACAAGAGTTTGTAATGCTGAGTTATACACCGAGATTACACTGAGAAAAATATTTAATTAGCTCGAGAAGGCTCGGTTCTCTGAAACGGAAGTGAAAGAAGTTTGGTTCGGAGAATCAAATTTTGATTTTCATAACGAGAGAACATTCGTTCGCCCGTATCGAAAAAAGAATTTTATTTTAGTCAACTTAGCGGGGGTTTTTCAGTGTACTATCGAAATTATTACGTGTGTTGTAATCTTCAATGTGTACACATGATGTACATCACTTAAGATTACAACACACGTCATAATTTCAGTCCGGAATTCCGGCACGGTCTATTACAAAATTTGGCGGTAATTTCTACTACGATATTTCCTCCGCGCGTATTTGTCGTATATCCCGACGAAAGAGGCCGGATTGATTTACCCCGAGAGGGGTGAGATAAAAACAAATTTAAACGGAATGAAGTGCGGACTCTTCAGAGTCTCACTAAGCACTTTGGCTCGCCTGTGAGAGAGAGAGAGAGAGAGAGAGCGAGAACGACAACGATCTTCTTTCGAGGCGGCGACCTCGCGCTTCTTCCATCGATTGCGTTTTTCACCCGCCGGGGTGGCGGCTCCCGATATCGGTAAGGGATGAGAGAAGGAAGGAAGAAAGGATGGATGGATGATCGGTCGCCATTTTGTGCAGCTTTTATCGCCGCGCCCTACATAGGAACATTAAGCGCGGGTTGCCAGGTTGCGCGTATATCAACAATAATTGCAGGGCCAATAATAAAGCCGAAGGGAGCACGCTCGATAGCCCGAAATTGCTGGTTCCCCTACCCCGAGCCGCGCAGTTTTATTGCCTCCTCTCGTCGGCAGGAATGGCGGCAGCCCCCTTCATCGTCCTCGATGGCGGATAAACGATCCTGCGATACGGCGCCGTGCCGCGAACGCGCGCGCTCGCTCGCGCGCCCGCGCGCTTCTCCTTCTCATCGCCCCTATCTATCCGTGTGTGTGCACGTGTGTTGCGGGTGTGTTACGCGCATGTGTGCGCGCGCGTCAGTATCCGTGTCCGCGTATAACGTATTCCCGCACCGTCTCTCTCGGTACGGAATCGTTCGTGAGCTCGTAAAGAGCCGCAAAAGCGGGCTCCGCACGCGCGATAGTCGCGAGTATTGCCCTTGTTAACGCCCCGTTAACTCGAGCCTCTGGACAAACTCGTAAAATTCAGCGGGTCCGTGGAAAGCTGACCGAGAGGGGGGGGGGGGGG